AGAGTCCGTTTCTGAAGAGATTCTTGGAACAAGCTTATGCAGAATTTTTTTTATCATTAAATTAAGATAATGCAGTGAAATGGGTATAACTAATTTTTGCTTTCAGTTTTTGAAAGGGAATAGAATTTTAAAATTTGTCCAATGTAAAGTAAATATGAATTTTAAATTGTTAATTTTGATAGGTTATATCAATTCAAACTGTTCAGGTGTTTGTAACTTGAAACACAAATTCATAAATTCCGACTGTTGCTACTAAAATTTTCCATCAGTCTTTTTCTTAGCCTAAGTTATTAAAATAAACAAATATTTACTTCGAAGAATAGATAACTGATCACATGTTACATTCCAAGTTCCTTGTTTTTGCTTAATAATTTTCACTCTATCCCACTATTTTTTTCTTTGGTATTGATCCATTGATATTAAAATCTAAAGCGGTTGTCAGTTATTCATCATAAGATCTGGAATTTCAGTTGACAGGAAAGTATGCTGCATTTTGACATGTTTTGCTAGAATTAATTGATTGACCAACTGGTTGATGAAATTGATTGAATGAGTGGTCGAAGAAATGTTCATTAGCGCTATCGTTAGAACTGAAAAGTGATGAGAGAGAGATGGCGGTAATAATGTTTGAAATGTTCTACAAATGTGAGAACATGATGAATGGTTGTTGCAGCCGATCATACGGTTGTTACTAACTGTTGTTCCTCCTCATCTTCGAACCGGCTAATTTTCCAGTTTTTACCCTGAAATTTACGACAACGACAATGATTTTTGCGAAACGGGAAGGAATTGATGGTAGTGAACGAGTTTGCCCTTCTGGCATTAACTGATGGCCAGCGCATCGGAGACACTTTGACAACGAACCACCCAATATCGTTTGCTACTGCTTTGTTAGAGGTCACAGCAATTCATTCAAATCAAAAAAATAAGAAAGAAAAAAAAACAGAAAAAAAAGTTTCTTTATACAAAGAAACTAAAAAGCTCTTTAGAAACGTTTTGCTTTGCACAACTTTTTGCAAACAAATGTAAAACGGATGAAAGCTATTCTTTTGTATTTCCATTGAAGTGAATTTCCTTTAAAAAGTTGAAATTTTTATTGAGTAAACTAAGGATAGTCAGGTAAAGCTTCTTTTTTGTATAGAAAAATGTAAAATGTTTTTTAATCCTTTATTGACGTGGTGTTAGAAAAACCACAGCTAATCTGACAACCACAAAACCATAAAATTATTTTAAAATAGACAAGTTTAGTTCCATGTGTTGCGGCAGCTCAGTAATATAAAGGTAATTCAATGACATTCGGTCTATTCTAATGATTCTATAATAAAAAAGAAACAAATAAATATAGGTAGGTCGTGTTGGTTACTGTATGATGGTGCTGAAAGTGTAGGTGTGAAATAGAGATGAATTGGATTGTGTGGATTGAAGTGGGCTCATTATGAAGCGTGATAGGTAAATAATGGGGAGGATATCTGGATAGAATTTGGGTTTGAAAGGTATGTCGGTGAGGTGAAAGGTAAAGGGAGGATATGGTTCAAATGAGAAGAAAGGCCATTATGATGATTGAGTTGAGCTCCCTCTCAGTAATAGGTTAGAGTTGTTTCACTGAAAATAGACCATTGGTGATGATAGATATCCAATACTACCAAGCAAGGACAGAGCCCCAAAATTAAATACCTCTTTGGCCTAGGTCTCCTTTTTCAATATTTTCCAAAATTGTATTGCTCCAACTTCAATTATTCTAATTATTTCGCATATTGCCTCTTCAAGCATAGTCTCCATTTCTTAACATCCGGAATTTCAAACATTCTATAGTAATGCAAGAAATAGCTATTGAAATTTCTCCTAAAATATGGTAAGGAGTTAAAATCATACACAGCTGAAAACTATTACTATTAAATGATTGATATAAGATATAAGAAATAAAAAAGCTTTACTATACTTTTTCCTTGAGCTTAGATGATAAAATTCAGATTAATGAGTTATAAAAATAGTTGAGTTTATTACTATAGCAAAATATTCGCCAATTATTCAAATTGTTCTAGTATTTTGACAATTTTTTAAGAGCAGCAAATATTTATGTTTGATACCCAATATTTTAGCATATAAAAGTTCCAAAAAAAAATTTATGATTTTCTCGGCTAACTGTAAGTTAACAAATTCATTATCAAGATTGAATGGAATAATTAGTCAACACTGACTGCACTGATTAACTTTTACATCAGATTTTTGCCAAACACCGATCACCGTCTGTCATCTTACTTCGATATGTCACTGTTATATTTTGAGGAGGTAAACATAATGGAGGTCAATTAAAATATGCTTATGGCAAATGGAAATATTTATTAACTGCTACCGTAATCCACTTAAGAAGAACTAAATAGTCTCCTTCTTTTTTGCATTATTATTTTTTTGAAAATTATTAGAACTCTTCAAAAGAAATTAAAAAACCCGGTGAAAAAGAATTCATGAAGACATATTTATATTTCAGGAAATTTCATGGTTAACACAATCATCTCTCGAAAATTTTTTTTGCATTATTATAGAAAAACAAAAAATGGAAATAAATAGAAAAGTAGTCAATTACTTAATAATTCATTTTACAAAAGGATTTCTATATCCGAAAAAAAGCTATTTTTGAATCATTCAGAAAATCTTATGAAAATTAGGTTTTTTATTATGATATGTATAATTTCAAAATGTATTGATTTAGTGTTATACTATTATAACATTAGGATGATTAATTCCTTTAAATTACCTTTTTTGCAATCCTTTTAAATTTTAAACTAAACTAAAACTAAAATTTTTATTGGTTTTCTCTTACAGAAGGGATTATTATAACTATATAAGCATCTCAGGTCATGGAACAAATTTGCAATGAAGACGTTTATGAATAATGAAGTTTGTTTATGCACGCTTACAGTAAATGATCTGCAATAATTGCACGCATTGCATGATGAAAAGTGTTTCGTCCAATTTTTCACTGCAACCGGACAGTTAGCTCATCGGGAAATGATTGATGAGAGCTTTTGAGAGAGCCTTACTATCTAGAAAGGAGACCCCCCATGGCTAGACCAGATTCCATGGCGGCTACTGTTTTCAAACTGACCCATCATCACTGAGATATCTATTATCAAACCATAAGGGATTATATTCATTGTCTACTAAAAAAATTAATTGATAAAGTGTAATGATATCCTAATTATTTTCATTTCCAATTCTACTTGAATTTTTTTATTTTTGATTAGCAATATAGATCTGTTAAAACTGGAATAAAGACAGGGACTAGTCAAGGGAATATATCACATATTTTATTTAGTCTGAATTTTGCAACCATTCTATTAATTGGAATAATTATTGTAATTTTCTTATTTACAACTGTTAATTTCAACAAATTTACCGAAATAAGCAGCGCTAGTCATCTCTTCAGCATTTTGTATGCGCAATTGCTCACATGACACTTCTCAACGTGTTGTTTTTGAAAACGATTTATGATAACTGCTATCACAACACTTTATTTCATCCATTTCTTTGTTAAAATCGTTAGTTAATATTATATTCTTCACTTATTTGAATTTACTGAGAATAATATCTTGCCATGCTTTAAAAAGTGAAATCGTTATCATTCTAAGGAAATGTCTTACAAAATCTTTATTTGTAATTAATGAACAACTTGAATTCAACAAAACAAAACAAACGAGATTGATTATGATTATTTTAGTCGATTTCTAATAAACCAAAATTTTGTCTTTCCAAATTTATCACTCAAAACTTTTTAAACAACAAAGAGGTGAATTTTAGTAAATAATTACATTGATTTTTTTCACTTTAAATTCAATACACTATTTGTTATAAAAAATGAAAATATAGTCGTTCAACAGAACTTTAAAAATTTTAATATTAGGATGGTAAGGTTCAGAATTAGTTGACAACAGTAGATATTGATAAGTCAGTTCTAATTGGACAATAAATTCGTTACCGTTTGTGAATTAATTGGAGCTCGACGAGAGGATCAAAAAGATGAAACATATGGCAGATTGAACGAGCTGTTCGCTTCAGGGATTAGTCGCCCAAATCCTAAAATAATGCTAATTTTGTTCATAGCGGTATCTCTATATTTGCGACAAGAAAGAGCGCTCTACTCCTACTTCCCCTTGTATTATTGTGTACAATTCACTGATCTGGGGATTTACAAATATAACCAAAATTATTCTTATTTATACTTAAAAAAATGAGATTTTATTTCCGACAAATTACATTTCAAGTGCTTATGTAAGCAATTCTGAATGTTGCATTATCCTTTTGAATGATATTGGAAACTTTTCAAGAAATAGTTATGAAAATTGTCCTGGTTTCAACACTGTAATAAAAAGATAATCTTAATTGAATTTTAATCAAGTAAGGTCAAAAATATTTCGGAATCTAAATTAATCTGTTTGAGCGCTCTAAAAGGTATAAACATTTGAAAATAAATTTAATAAAATTAATTCTTCTGCACGACCATTAATTTTTTATTGAGCTAATTTGAAATGAATAAAAAGAAATATAATTCGAGATAATAATTAAGGAGATGGATTGTATAGAGAATAATATAAAAGGAATGCGAAGAAGTGGCAGTGACCCGTTAAAGTTAATCTCATTTAGTGCTATAAAAGGACATAGTGTTACCTTGATGTCTTCTCTCACGTTATTATTGTATAGCATCAATAAATAATTGGCATTCGTGAGATGTATTTTCATGACAGTGAATTACCTATCTGATAATTAATCAAAATTTGCTTTAAAAAAACAAAAATTTGTACATCACAGAATTAAAATTTATCAAATGAAAAAAAAATTACAATAAAGAGTTAATTCATCATATTTAATCTTCATATTACATAATAAAGATAGCACATTACATTTAAAGAGCACATAATAACATTATATATTTAACATCTCAGGAACTCGTTCTGGAACTTTATTGCAATTTTTCATGGGCAGTCAATGATATATTGATATATTCCTTCGTAGATATCTTTGACAATGATATAAAAATGATATATTTGAAGCTTCTTGAAATCGTAGGATTAGTAAATGTATATACGATAGGATGATATTATACTTTAATCCATTCTAGGTAGTCAGTTAGGCACTAATTTAATAGTCAACATAAAGCATCTTCTGAAGCTTTGCTTCTAATTTTGCGCTTTATTTATAAATTAATAGGAAAAAAGACAATAAAAAAAGTAAGCTTTATTCGTTGAAAAAATGCAATAAACGCAATTATCAAGAATTTTCGACGCAATTAATAACAGTTTTTTGAAAAATCGATAATTTTTCAACATAGTTTGAATAGAAATAAAAATGCGCTTTTGTTTATTTATAGATTTAGAAAGAAATTTTGGAAAAAACTTAACTCACTTATTTGGTCACGTCATTATTTCAATCATAAAAAAGTATAAATAAATAGTGATTTGTATTATTGTTGTACATTTGTAAGTCTATTTAGTCATTTATGAAGTAATTTGAATCCTAAAATGTTAATTCATGACTTGATGCAATAATAAGCAAGCTGTGATCTCTTATCAATTAGAGAGTTATTCATCATTTGTTTATTTTTTAAACTTTCAACATCGAAATGAAATCTTTACAAGTTTAAACAAGTGGATTACTACTGCATATCAGGTCCTTTAGGAAATTGATTTAGATTCTGGACATACAGGTGTTAATCAACTCGGTGGAGTATTTGTCAATGGTCGACCATTACCTGATTCAACGCGTCAAAAAATTGTTGATTTGGCACATCAGGGAGCTCGACCATGCGATATTTCAAGGATCCTGCAAGTCTCTAATGGGTGAAAACGCCATTTCTCTTATTTTTTGAAGTTTAGTCTTTTGTCTGCAGAAAATGTGGCAAGGAGTAAAGCATGTTTGCTGAGACTTAAAGCCTTTCGAGAATAAACGGCACTTTCTTGGTTTATAGCATAATAGAATAAGACAAAAAATTCATTGAATGATTGGTTAGTCATAGCCATAGAATTTCAAAGAAAACTTTTACCGATGAAATCGAATTTTAGACATAATTTGTAAATATTGTAATAATTAGTGAAGTGTGCAATGGAATGGTTTCGTTCAAATTGATAAAATCCATGTTTTTTCCCCTAAAATCCAGAAGAAAGTTTGTGTTATTAATTATCCAGACTTTTCTAGCTTATTATGCCTTGGCAAGTTCAAAATCCCGGATCTAAATGATGTCTAGAAAAATTTATGTTGCGGCAATTAGACAAAATTACTTTCAAACAATTCTGAAAATCAACTTTGTCGACAATAATTTTGTCAATGGTAGATAGCTTTAACCAAAAGTTTCCAGTTTAATTTCAAAAATTTTTCAGCTGTGTATCGAAAATTCTATGTCGATATTACGAGTCGGGTACAATTAGACCCCGAGCTATTGGTGGCTCGAAACCTCGTGTTGCAACAGTCAGTGTGTGCGATAAAATTGAAAGTTACAAACGTGAACAACCATCTATTTTTGCTTGGGAAATACGGGATAAATTATTGCACGAGAAGGTGTGCTCCCCAGATACAATACCTAGCGTAAGTTTTGTTATAGCTAAATAATTCCTTGAAATTAAAATTGTTGATTTTAAAACTCTCCTCAATTGTATGTTTTTTTTTTCAGAATTTAATGATTAAACTTTCTGCAGCAGATATTTCGGCTTCGAATTAAAAAACTATAGAATCAAATATTATTGTTACGGAATAAATATTATTGTTAAAAATTTTAGCAAGCAATTAATCGAATTATTTTATTTCAAAAAATGCAATGTTAAGCTTTGACATACTCTATCTTGGATACATTTTAAATTACATATCAATGTTTAAATTTATTGAAGGGTTTGGATTCAATTTTGCAAATCCTATTTTTTTTTAACATGTATAAAATTTAAATCGCTCAAATGTAGATAGCGATTACGTTATGCTTACTTGTTTTGCGAAAGATTTCAGTGGTAACTAATTAAATGAATAGACGAATTAATTTTGAATCTACCTAAAATTTTAAAATAACACTGTAATTAGTAAGGGGAGAGGGATGGCAAAAAAAATAAAGTATTTGATATTTCAGGGCAATTTTTAAATCGAAGACTACTTTTTTGACTATCACTTTTAAACTATATCCCTTGAAATTTTTTCTAAAATAATTTTGTACATTATTATCGTAGAAACATAGCGGTGAAATAAGTTTAAAATCGTTTGATGCTTTAAAATAGCAGTATAATATCGAAAAAGCTGAATATTGCGGTGTAATCCTCGCTCGACTGACGAATTTATCATGCGGACTAATTTGTTAATAAACGAGCTAATATGCGAAAATTGAAATATTTGTGTGCATTCAATAACTTTTTTTGCGAAAGCGATAGTTGAAGCTGTAGTTGTCAAAAATTAATGCAAAATAAATATAGCAAGCTATTTAATCACTTTAACAGTCATCCGACCTAGATTTAGATATTATCACTTACTGTCAGTAATTGGGACAAAATAATAAAAAACACAATGAATTACAGCAAATTGTAAATGTAAATTTGTTGTAAATGAGATCTTCGCTTTAAAGTTTTAGTCTTCAGTTTTCCAAACAATGTATCTCTCCTAACTTATCAAATTTCAAATCAACTATTTATGGTTAGTAAAACGATGAGTTCGGAAGTGCAAAGTTGAGATGAAAGAGAGCTTTTTAAGAGGGTTACAGCAAGCATTTCAGTTACAATAAATGCTTCATACTTTATCTTAAAACTAATTTTATGATTTCAATTATTTTTTAATTAGTTTGAAATTCAGCTACTTCGGATTTATTTGGAAGCAGGAAAAGTTGCCTTTAAATAAAATAACTGTATTCATAGGTTTTTTTTTTTATTAAAGCAACCAATGGATGCATTAATTTATTCATTTTACATATCATTTGCTTTGTCACTGAAATTAAAAAGATTATGCGTAAAGGAAAACAAAAATTGGATTTGACAATTAAAAAAAACTTTTTTTAGTTTAAACAAAAAAAATTTTGTGTGAGAAAATGAAATTTAAAACTTGTTTCCTTTATGAATTAGTAAAGTTAGTAAATGATATTTGACAGATAGCCAAAAAATGTTGTGCTGATGTCACCACTTCCTGCAGCTAAGGGTATATGAAGTACCTCTTCAAAAACATTTCAGTGGATTAGTTAGCATCCGGCAAATAATCATGGCATTACTTTCATTAAGATCAGCAAATGGTATCATAAAATGCAAAACTCTTTACATCCTCGCTTTACACTTTTCATTTTTTCGTTAATTTATTATTTGTTTATCTAAGAAATAAAAGATTGCTGATATCGAATTTTTGAAATTTCTAACAAATAAATCAGTGGAGTGGTTTCAATATCCTTTTTTGTGAACAGAAGATATCTACAATTGAAAAGAATTTTAAAACAACTTTTTCGAAATTAGTATGTAAAATGGATGAAAACCAACTTTTAGCATCGAGTATATTCATACTCTTGAGAAAGCCTATTTCAAAATACATCTATGTAATAAGTTCAAAGGTTACAACAATCTTATTTTTTTCTACAATTTTTCTCTTTTCATCACTAGTGTTATTTAAATAGTGCAAAATAGTCAACAAAGCCTTATAAAGCAGAAAAAATCAAATTAAAAAAATATGAAAAGCATGAAATCCCAATAAGAGCTCATTAATACTATAGCAAATTATTATCATTTTTAACGGAAGTTGTGTGACTTTTTAAGAAAAATTCCAACAAATTTTTGCATTATAAATAAGTATTTGTAAATTTGCATGGTTCCATTTATAGTAAAAAGAATCCACAGCAATGTTTGCCTTTCTTTGTTTAAAAAATAGAAAGCTGGAATATAATAAATTATTGAATGCTGAAGTTTTTGGAATTTTGAAAACCATCAGTTTTGCTAAAAAATTTGAAATTCCACAATTTTTTTTAATTTCATCGCATTTTTTAGCTAAACTGAAGACTTACATTGAGATTAAAATTCAGGAGCAAAAAAAGCGTATTTGCCTTTCTTTTTTCGAATACAAAAGATTTAGGCATACGGAAAAAGGAAGCAGATGATTATTATAACAAGGTTTAGTTAAATTCAACTTATTTAAAAATTTTCAGCTTTCTGATGGAGTAGCTGCTACATTGATAGAATACAAACATTCTATTCCCATCTTGTTGATTCTATTGATACTTCTTCTGTTGCTTGCTTGTTCAGATGATTGTGTGATGGAGTGACTATTGCAGCGTATAATTAGTCGTAAAATAGATTTTTATTGCAGTTACCATGCGCTCAATCAGAAATATGCAGTTGAGAAAAAAAAGACAGAAGTAAAATACGGGTAGTTTTGTGTATGTGCGTATTTTAAAAGCGGTGACCTCGATGGTGAAGATGACATACATGTTTCACTTCATCTTTTTCTTGATTAACATGAGATAAGCTTAGCATGAGCAGTACATTTTGAGTCCCATTCTAGCTGATGAGAAAAAAATGTTTCAGCTGCGATTTTGTATCACGATAATGCCACCATTATGTAGCACTATATATTTTACGACTGATTCAATTTTTGGTTAACATTTTAAAACTTATGTTGTATTAATTAATTCATTATTTAATCGTGAAAATGATGAGTAAGCTACTTCTAAATAATGCCTTTCAAAAATCTCTAACTTCATTATTAAATCTTTCCGGAACGACCAATTTTTATCTTTCTTTACCACGAAATCATTCATTCAAAATGATATTTCACTATTCATTCAAAATGATATTTCACTAACTAATATATTTCATTCATACTATTATGAACGTTTTTCTCTTTACAGGTATCGTCGATCAACAGAGTACTGCGAAATTTAGCTGCAAAGAAAGAGCAGCAAGCGATGCAAAATGATTTCTACGATCGAGCACTGCGATACTCTTCCACCCAATGGTACAATCAATGGCCGATGGGTGTGCCTGGTGCTGTTGGTTTAGCGCAGTTGCCACCATTAACACAGGCTAATCATATTGATAAGAAAGATTCTGGTAAGTTTCTTTGAAACAGTAACTTTCCTACTAACAAAGGCAATTGGAAAAAATTGCTAATTAGTACTTTTACAAAAAAGGTGACACAATCATGAAGCTGAGAAGTTTTTCAAGATATCTCCAAGTAATTAATGACCAGTTATCACGACAACTGATACCACTTTGCAAATAAATTTTCCATCGACAAATATCACATTGTTGATGGATTTTTTTTGTTCCTCGCTTTTCATCACATAGTTTATAAATTTCTCTCGTGCTGATGAAAATTTTGTTACATCGGTGAACTGGGAGCAGTTTAGTTTCAGAATATGTAGGCATGCATGCATGTGTGTATGTATGTTGTGTGTAAGGGTATGTGTGTAAGGTATGTGTAGTATCAGGGATGCTCGACAGCGCCTGACATATGTCATTCCTAATTAATGTCCATTCCAAACAATTAAAGTTTACTACTTTTTTTGAGTTCAATCAGGAAAGAAGAAAAAGCGGCCAAAAGTGACATTCCTTCACGATTAAAAAAAGCGGAACTTTTTGTTTAGAAAACAGCAATTAGAATCTATTTGTTCAAGTAACACAGATACCGTATACACCCACGCAGTAAGCCATCCTCAGCGCATTTAGCACTTAGGCTCTTTTTAAATAATTAGTGAATTTCGATGAAGACAAATTGAAAATTGTTCGGAAATTTCAAACAACGGATTGTATGTTGATCAAAGATATTGATAATCGTTTGATGACGAAAGACGCAGGCCGAAATGTTATTATCTCATATATTGTTACGGTGCATTTTTAAACCATCGAAGCTTTTTATTTTTTATACTTATGATTAGCGCAGAAACCAACAGATGAAGAAAACCATCAATAAAGTAAATTAAGAGGAGATTACTTTGAAGCATAAATTTTAATGCATTATGTAATCCATAAATCAACAATTGAAATGCTTAAAGAAAAAATCATTACATGAAGAAAAATTTTTTTTTCTGATAAATGAAAATAAAGCTTGTGTTCACTGTGAGATATAAAAGTTCGATAACTCTTCAACCTTACTACATCAGTAGTTGATCTCTAAATCACAAAATAAGACAAAATAAGACGCTGAAAAGTTGTACTCATTAGTTTATTTGCATTGACACACTGTTTTCTTCACAAAATAATTTAGTATATCTTAATTAGGATTTTTTTAATTTAGTGCAGCTATGAAGATTTTATGTAGATTCATGATAAGTATTTTGTTTTAATAGATGTGTCAAATATATGTATTCTTAGCATGCCATACGCCCATGAAATAGAAGTTGAAGTGAAATTTATAATATAAATATTTATGGAAAATGAAAAAAAAAAATTCCATTATCCATAAAATACTACCTTATCGTGTTTTCCACTTACTCCATTTTTGTAAATCTGGCATTTTTCTGACGACAAAGAGACTTCGAAAGCAAACCACAAAAGCAGCAGTTAGAGTTTTGAGACTGCATAGTGCAATCTTTTGATATAGATAGTTGATGACATTTCGATGTTTTGCTGTCAGTTTAAATTTCTGAATTTACCAAAAGAGTTTTGAAGCTTTTTGTAAAATTGTATCGACGAGCAATATTTATCCTCAAAAATTTCACCATTTAAAATGTGTTTTCTGAAAAAAAGTCAATAAAAGGAAAAATTTTAATGTCCACCTTTCAAAATAATTTAAAACTTGAAAACAAAGCTAAAAATCTGGGAAATACTTGGAATTTTATTACAATCAACATTTTATTACTGTTCCGCATGGTTCTAAAACCTTTTACTTATTAAAATATGATGAGAAATCCCATTTCTGTTCAACTGAAGCAAAATATACAAAAAAAAATTAGATCTATTATGAATTTCTTGTGATGATAGGTTTCTTTCAACTGGTTAAAAATTTCAAAACATGTTTCAGAATGCTAGTAAAGTTGAATAAGAAGCTAATAGAATAACTTTTCAAATTACTTGAGCATATTAGATAAGGTTCAGAAAGTTTTTCATCGTTATTTTCGGTTTCAAGTTCAAATATCATATTTGAATTTTTGGGATACTTCAATTTCTTATTAGAATTCTCAGCTTTTTATTTGTATATAATGATGAGATTTCTAAAGCTAATTTATTGGGAAAATGATAGCAAGAAAAAGTTCCAAAACGCGAATCATTTTTGATCAAAACCCCATGAATTTAAATCTTTCCATTATTGTTTTTTTCTTAAACGATGGTAACATTTGAAATTAACGAACAAGAAAGAGTGTTAATGGTGTTGGATTGTATTAGTGACCCTTACTGGAATCTCTTGGTTGACAGCTCCATCAAATCCCGCATGCAGTGATTTGGCATCAGATAAGACTGCACCAAACAATGCGAACAGTGGTGATCCATCACCATTGCATTTCATAGTTCCGCCTCCGTCAATTTCGCACAAAAACTATGAAAAGCATTTCCATTACCTCATTTTCACCTTTATTACAAATCATTTCTTTCCGATATCAACTTCAGTTATGTTTTGTGTAATTAAAATTAAAGCAGAATTCAAAGAGATTCTACGAACAAAGTAATAAACAATGCAAGTGGAAATAAAAACACTGCAATGGAAATATGCATTACAATGATTCTCTGTTCAAAACATTCAGTCTATTCGAGTTAATTTTATAGAAAACTTCATCCAATACTATATTTTCTCGACCATTTATCTTGAACATGTCGTTTTATTTGCCCGCTGTTTCATTTATGGAAATCTCATATTTCAGTTAACCAAAAGGAATTCAGTTTTAATTACTGTTTGAACAAGACAGTAAACAGAAGCAGCATAAGCAAATAGAATTAAAGTTTGCAGCGAGCTTGCATTCACACATTTTTCGATGGCAACAGAGCTGATGAGACGAGACGTCAAGTAAGAGATGTTCAGTAGATCGTGCGCATGCAATTATAAAAGAACGCGTGTTTGTTTGTATATGTGTATAAGTCTATGTGTGCATGTATGTGTGTATGTATATGTGTATGTATGTGTGTATGTGTATGTGTGTATGTGTATGTGTGTGTATGTGCGTGTATGTGTCTGTACGTGTGTATGTGTGTGTGTTCATGTATGTGTATGTGTGTATGTTGTATGTTGTGTGAATCACTGCTGTTATATCTGATGATGGAAACTTGTTTCCTTTTCTGCTTTAATATTCCTTGAATTTAGGCAGCATAAAATGCATCCTTAAAGCCTTATAACTTCCCCGTTTAATTGAGCATTTATACTTAAGTGTTTTTTTTCTTCGCAAATAATTGTTTTGTGTTCTGGGAGTTGGTGATCCATACTATGGCAAAATGTTGAAGATGAAAACTATGATCTTAAGAAAATTGTTAAACAACACATTCCATATTGAATCTGCACTGTTGTTGACTCTAAGAACAAGGCAGAAAGAGTAGTTTTGCGAAGCAATTCAAATTTGTGCATTTGAGGAGCTTACAGGGCTTTCACAATCCGTGTAATTTAGGCTTAATTTTTTCAAGCCTTGCGAAAATGAAATTCAGTTAATGGAATAATGCATTTGAATGATAGATTTGGACTGAATATAAGAAAGGCCTAATCATATTGATGATCATTTTAGATGATATAACTCCTTGGGTCATTTCAAGTTTAAAGATTCCGGTAAATACAAGGACATAAAAAAGTGGAAGGAATCATAAACTTGAAGTTAAATTTAATTGTTTTTGGCGAAATTTGCTTTCATGCTAAAAGTGAAGAGGGACGTGCCCATTAAACAATTTTTATTAGTAGGTGTGCGAAAATAGGGGAAAGAAGAGGAGAAGGATGAGGAAAGGAAAGAAAGGTTAAAATGGATACATGCGCAATACACCCATCAAACACACACAGACACACACATACACAGACTTAGGCAATACACACACACACACACACATACATATATACTCTAAAACCAGACATAGAATCTATTGTAGCAAATTGTTCTTTTTAAGTAACGGCAATAAGTGGACTCTTTGCGGTTCAGTGAGATCCGCGCGTCCCACTTAGCAATGTATTTCTTCTGATCTAGAATATTATGATAGATCGACATTTTATAACACACTCTCTGCACTTAATAGCCTAAATATATGAGCAGAAATTCAGGCAAGTATGGAAGAGGAAAAGCCAGATAAATTCTGTTCAAATAGCATGCCTCCATAACAGCTACTTTATATCGATAGAAAATGTAAGCGAATGGGAAAATTAAAACTCGAACAGATCCGCTAACCAAGGCCATATTTAATGATGACACAAACGACCGCTACAGTCATCTACTCTTTATGAAAAAATATTTGTTTCTTTTCATTTATTCCAATCATAGTTTACATTGATTACTGGAAAAATCTTTGGCCAAATAGACAAATATTATGCATTAAGAAATAGATGCATACACTGCTAATAACTAAGCTAGCAAACATGTAACAATGTTTGGATCTTAGATGAGTAAGATGTACAGGTCATTTTGCTAACACTAGCGGAGTTCTCGATGTGGCGGGGATATAAAGAATTGGGAAGAGGACCATTAAGACATTGTTTTCCTTCCAATACGCCTCTTATCAAATTTAATGGGATAAATAATGAAGGGGGTGTGTCGAAGCGTCATATTGCGGAGACTGTTCACAACATAATTGTTAGCCGTACATACACTTTTTCAATTTGGTGCACATCCTTACACATAACCCTATAACTTGCTAGTTATCAAAGACAATTTTTTTGCAATATTGCTAAGTAAGGTCCAGAAGGTTCACAGCGTGTACCACTACCGTTATCGCAACGACATAGCTGTGGTATTACAGATTAAAAGGAACACAGAACCCGATCGCCATCGGCGATGAAGTCAGTGAGTCTACCAGTCAGTCAGTTAGTCAGTTATTCAATCAGTTACTCAGTCATTCAGTCAGTCACTTTCTCTCACCAAAGCAATCCATCATTGTTTGTATGGGAGCGCGCCTCGTATCGTATCCATCGACCGAGAGAAGTGTATGTTGGCAAACTACCGTA